AGTTCAGTTCAAGACAGTTATTCTTTTATACATTCGATTCAATTCAGTTAATACAGTTAATTCTATTCTTCCATTCAGCGCAGTTAATTCTATTCTTCCATTCAGTTCAGTTAATTCTTCTAGTTCAGTTCGACTCACAAGTAAACCTACCCAAGTGCCACCCGCCGATCTTAATGAAACTTGGCATACTTTCAAAACACCGAAAAATATTGGATACGTATTTTTTTATACGTCCCCATAAAGCGTTTTAGGGGTACAAACCACCCCCACAATATAAAAATTAACCCTTTTTGTGACTTGTGAAAAAATATAAAATTAATAACTAACAATTAAGTAGCGTTAATTTTACAAAAATGTATGTGAGCTACGCTCACAAAAATAATTACTATGGTGTTTTCGAAGTAGCTAATTACGAATCTGATGCCAGTTTCCCAAAATTCTAACTGGCATATCCAGTATGTTGGACGAAAAATGTTAATGTTGAGTTACGAGCATAAAAAATCTACTGTACCATCTACTGTAAATGCAGTATCTAGTTTTATTCAGGTGCACCAATTACATACATCAGTTGCAAATGGAATGATAATTTATTTACTTCATTTATTATTTATTAATCACAAAAATATATCCAATATTTTTCGGTGTTTTGAAAGTATGCCAAGTTTCATTAAGATCGGCGGGTGGCACTTGGGTAGGTTTACTTGTCAGTTAATACAGTTAATTCTTTTAGTTCAGTTCGACACAGTTAAATCAGTTTAGTATTTCATTTCATTCTTACATACAGTTTTGGTCAGAAATTAACTTGATCAAGGTAAGAACTATCCACGCGCTTCCTCAGAAATACATTCCATATTTTCCTTTTTATTGTTCTGTTTCACTCTTATATTTTTCTTTTTATTATTAAACAAAAATATTATATACATCAAATCGCTGAAACCTAAATCTCTGCTCTGCGTCTCACTTTATTACATATATTCAAGTACATATATACGAGTATCCGAGGGCTTGTTGCGACTGTCGCTGCCAATAGCGTGGCCCCCATCTTATAGCACTTTCTCGGAATATTCATAATTATCTCATATCCAAAAGACTGTTACGATTGTCGCTGCCAATAGCGTGGCCCCCGTCTTACAGCAGTTCTTCTGGATATTAATAATTTTGCATTATTTCCATGCCTACTAAAGGCGGACGAAGACAGCGAGAGAGGAAATTAAGGTTTCAAATAAAATCATTTCAAATCACGATCCTTTCCCGTATTCCGAAAAACTATCCAATACTTCCCAGTGAACATTATTAACCGCACAACCTAATCTCCGATCCCCGAGTAAATTGCTTTAATGCATTGACTCAAAAACGGAGAAAATCCTAATAAAAATACGTAACATGTATTATAAATTTTATGAGTTTGTCACTAAGAGAAATACTTTTTTTTTCATTTTATCTTCTTTCTCATATTAAAGGGAATTCATACATACATATACGAAGAGGATGCATTCGTACATCTCATATGTTTATAAAAAACACTCATATTTTCATTATTATAGTGGAACATCGAATATCTTAATGTGCAAATATTTGCAGAAGTATATTTCTTACTATTTTCATAATAACATAAAATGAATAGAAATTTTTATATATATTTACCAGCTTGCTCAATGTTCACCATCCAACAATCATTTTGAGGAAAAGTTATTCTGATAGAATTAATATCTGATATATTAAATATGTTTCATCATTTTTATTTAAAGATATGTCCCTTAATTTTATGGAAATCAGTCACTTAATGTTACTTGTACTGTAACTTCGCGACAAAACAAATCCTGTGTAATTTGTGTCTCGTACCCAGCTTATAACAGGATAGTGATTATAACATATCCAAATTGAGAACTCATACGATGATTTATTAGAAATATGCATCTCCTAATTTTTCTCCTTTGGCCCAGAAATTATAGGACATTATTGTATTGAACCTAAAGTAAAGAATTACTATTAGTGATCAGCGTAATAATAATAATAACTTTATTGCATGCGTTTACAAATGACAGTAAATAATACAGAAAGGAAAATGAAGACAAGATCAAAATGCATGCAAAAAGAGAAGCGACACCTTTACAGCTAATATGTAGCTTAACAGGCGAAATTGATTTGAAGTTGAACTGCCATGAACCTTTTGCGTGGACTACTTTTGAAATTTCGCGCACTTCCGACGTGACTTTGGCTGCTGTTAAACTGTATCTGACGCTAGTTGTATTGTATGTTACGAACTGACGACGTGGGTTCGGCAACTATTAAAATTTTTCTGAGGCTCTACGCTTCCGCGGGGCCTTTATTTATACCCCGAAAAAAGGGCGTAGTGCCCTTTGTCTAGGATGCAATAGTTAGTTGCAATGTCGCGTGAGATTTATGATTTTTAAGATGTCCTATCGTTGTTAATCTAAAGTACACTGTTAAAAGAGGTTTAGAGAACAAAAGGAATGATTTATGTTTTCTCTAAAAGGGGCAAGATTGCTTCAAGCGAGTGATGAATTCCGTCGTCCTCGCGGAAAATATGGCTAAGTAAACAGCTGTGAGACGTTATCTCATGTTTTTATGTTTTTTGTGGCGACGCGGCGCCTGTTTTTCTGAAGATGAAATTGTTGGTCAATAATTAGGATAACAGCCTGAATTTTTATCATCGCGTGACTTAGGTCCATTTATGATATTTTTCATAATCTTGTCCCTTTTAGGCCTGCGTTAGTGTTGTTATTTTTCCAGGTTGATTGACGTTTTCGCGGAGCCTGTGTGGTCTGTTTTTCAATTTTTATGAGGGAACTCCTGCTCGCGTCTCGCAGGCGCCAATCGTAGTCGCGGCGGAGCCGATTCTCTCGAAAGAAAAGAATCTGCGTTTGCAGGACGTAACAATATATTGTACATAAAACTATACAACACAATTTTACGTTATACACATATTACATATAAAAATTGCCTAGATAGATTTAAGGATTTAAGGATGTACTGGCGCTAACGTTCTAGCATTGACAAAACCTTGAAAATTTAATAAATAGTTTCTATTTATTATCTTAATACATGTGCAAAACCTGAAGTCGATTCTCTAACTAGTTTAGGAGTTATTCAACTTTTAATTTTGCATGAGTTCTTATGGAAAAGCAGCATATTCTTACTTATATCAACAAAATAATAAAGAAGCAGCATTGCCAATATTCTGAAACTTTGTTTGTGAGTAAATAAAATACTGAGCAATGTTTCTAAAAAAAGTTCATATCGATTCACTAACCCGTTATCAAGATATTAATTAATAAAGCAACGCAAAATTTCGAATTGGTTAGAAGTCACACTTCGACAGCTCGAAACGTGGCAACAGTGTCGCCGCGCATGACAGCACGACTAGTTTCCAGAGGAGTATACTAATGATTTTTCGAACTTACCACGATCCTTGTGATATTGTGCAAATTTTTAATTCGGTAAAAGGAAATATTAGAAATATCTTTTTTTCATAATGTTTATATTCAACTATGCGGCGTCCTTCCATGTAGTCCGATTGAGTTGATTCATTTTGTGGTTCTGACTCGAATTTTGAGTTTGCGTTGATTTTATTATACGTCCAAAAGTTTTTTGCCGACAATCACAAAACTTGTAAAATATACAAATATATTCATTTGTAGTACCAAATATTATATTAACTGGCACTATTTAAGTCCTTTACACGATACGAGCATGATATGGTGCATATCTTAACTTATAAAAGCATAGAATTTCATCAATTTCAAATTTCAGTCACTTTTATCTGGGATTGTATAGCCAGAACATCCTTAAAGAGACTGCCGCTTTTTTAACGGAAACGGAATTAAGTTAATAAAGCTATTAAAAAATGAAAAAGTCATGAAAAAATGAGATTGAAAAAAAATTTATAAAAGGGAAACGGAGGCGGTATTTTAAAATATTGCAAATATTAGGAAAATTTTTGAAAACTTTAAGTCTGTTAACAGTTCAAAGAATTGGAAAGAGTAAGGGCCCTAGGAGTCAGGCGCAGAAGACGTCGCGCAAATAATACACTTATAAAGAGTGAAACTTCTTTATTCACTAAACGCGCTTACATGTTTCGACTCATTTTTGAACCTTCCTCAAAGCAAACACACATTAACATATGTAAAGTAAAAGTTATCCTGTCATGGTGAGCTCTCCAACATCGAGAATTTCAATTATTAGAGAATTAAATAAAAAGAAAGAAAAGGAAAATGAAAAAGAAGAGAAATATAAAAAATGTCGAATTAAAAAATATAGAAACTAATTTATCAAAGAACTTTAATAATATTTAACAATATAAATAATTATCTCGAAAATAGGGACGCTCACCACGATTACAAAGTACCGTATCGCAAACATTATCATGAATAATTCAAGAATCGGTTCCTGATATGTTGGCCAGTCGGTATCAGACACAGTGAGTCATTTTTTAGTTATTAGCTAGTACTAATGAAAATTGTAAAGTGATAAAAAATTTCGTCAGAAGGACTTATTACTGTGTACGAACGACACCAACTGACAAGATATGACAACAACTCAAGCTTTTATAGTTTATCTATAATCGGGAGGTAGGCCTTCGGAAGCCCCTCCATATCCGTTTGCAGGTTGAGTCCATGCGTTTGTCTTCTGATGAATATCATCTCCGAAATCAGTCTCTTCCTGTAGTAAGGTTCCTCGTCCAATATCGCAACGTTGTCCCAGTCAAAATCGTGTCCCTCTTGCAACCGATGTTCCGTTATAACATTGCGAGCAGACGTGTTCCATCGGATGTTGTTCTTATATTCCGTGATTCTTGATTTCAGTTGTCTACACGTCTCTCCCACATAACTCGCGTCGCAGCTCTTACACGAAATCTTATAAACAACCTTCGACTTCTTATCACGCGATAAGGAGTCTTTATGTACCCTAATAAATTCTCGCAATTTATTAACACTATAAAATGACACCCTCATATGCTTGTTATTCATTCTACTAAACTTCTCAGTAACACCACGAACGAAAGGGACAGTGAACCACGAAGGCTGTACTACATCAACGCTATTATCACTAACAACCCTCTTCCTATTACTAGCCATAATAATATTCTTCAAACGGTTGTTAATATTCTCAAATATAAAACTCAAAGGATAATCATTCTCTAACAATACTTTAATTACGAAACACAAATTATCAAAGTGGAAACTTTCCAATTTTTTTTGTTTTTTGAGGATATTTGTAAGAATAATGTATGATAAAATAATTGTATAAAAAACAGTTCATTATAATTAAGATATATTTATTAATTATTTTGCGCTATAAACGCATAATAATATTATATAATATGCTAAATAATACAGATATGATGGCATTATAATGGCGAAAAATAGTCAGTAATGTGCAAATGAAGCAAGACTAAACATACGGAAAAATACAGACATAAGTAAAAATTTAATGAAAACAATATTATAACAATTGAGTAAAGACAAAAAATAAGCCAATATAAGAAAATATTTAAGATTAATACTATATATTCAGAAACATAAATAATGTAAGAAAATATTCAAAACGAATACTATATATTCAGTAACAGTAACATCAGCTTACGTAATTTTCCACTGATTCGAGCTAATATAAAAGAAAACCTATATATATTACGTACTTATTTAAATTAGATTAAAGAACGGTTTTAATTAATAGCAAAATGATTTATATGTTCGATAAGTTGTGCAAATCTTTGATTTATCTTCTTTTTAATTTTCCAAAAATTTGATAAATCTAAATAGCGAATTTTTCGTATATAAGTATCAATCTAAAACAAAAAATGTTTTAAAATTTAATTATATTCGTTGAACAATTTATTATCGTTCTATACAGAATTGCATGCAATAAATTATCGTTGTTCATAAATTGAAAGAATAAAACGTAAGCAGTCAGAAACATATATGCCATATTGCATACATCATGCAGTTATTAATATAAGTTTTCAAAACGATTACTCTAATAAGAAATTAACTTTATTCTCAGTTCAGTTTGCTTTTTTTTGCAATTCTAAGAATTAGAAAAAGATAAATAGTAAAAAACCTAAATCAAAATTAATCATACACTGATGAAGCCTGACTAAAAAGAAAACTGATAAATGTAGAGAATTTTATTTGAATTTATTTACCTTCATAAGATCGCCGAGAGAATACATATGGTTAATGATGTCAACTAGTACTGGTAATATGTTGAAATGTCTTCATAAAATCAATTCGTACAAATTTATATTTTATTATATATAATATATTATTATTAAACACAATGTTCATTTATAAAAAAATGTACTTACATAGGTTGTACAATTTCAATATTTTTAAATATCTTCTTTAGCGTCTTAAAGTTGTTAGAATGTTTCATAATAATTGAATGAAAAGTGTCTATATATAACCGAATAATCGTAATATTTTGTCTTTCATCTTGTGTGAATAGCTCCAAAAATGATGAAGACGTAAAATTTACACTATACGTAGAACATGTCAAGAGCTGTAGCGATTTTTGGTTAAATTTTTTTAACAAACTGTTTTCTACGTTTGACCACATAGAAATATTAGCTATTGCTAAACCATTGCAATATGTCCAGTGCTCCCACCATGGTAAAAGCCTACAGTTAAAAAAAAAAGAATAAAATTACACATGTGAAAACATCGTTTATTATATGTTTGAACCGAAATTTTGTCATAATTCGAAAATTCGCAAAAACGAAATTATGAAGATATTGCATTTGTAGAAAAATATTACGGGTTTCTTGCAGGATCGTGTAAATGTTGTTCTAATTGACAAAGAGCTGATTGTTTGCACTCATCGTATTGGAGGATACATGCCCATTTCACAATTTCTTGTCTTAAACATTTGGTGAAGTCATTTTCCATTAGACGTTCTTCATATCCTAGTGTCTTCAGTGGCTTTTCCAACAATTTTCTAAATTTCTCCTAAATGACGCATATTTTATATATTCATTGATTGTAATGAAGTACATTATTATAAATAGCACTATGATAATTAATCGTAATTAATTCAAAAAGGGATTCATCTTTCTACATTCTTCCTATAATAACCTAATTCGAAATGATTTTGAAAATTGGAAAATGGATGAATTATTGTCTTTTAGTAAAATTTATTAGAAATCTAGTAGATATAATTGATAGATGTAATTGTTATGAATAATACAATTATTTTGGTGTAAAAATGAGAATTTTAGTAGATTTTACCAGAAATATTTTATGTATCAACCAGAATTTCTATTATCTCAACTAGAATTCTAATAAATTTATTAAAAACTTCTGATGTACGTGATTTTAACCAGAAATTTTTTATGATACAACTAATAGCCGTTGTTAAATATTAGGGATGCCGCAAGATTCGAGAATCTTGTCTTGTCTCGTCCTGAATTTCAAGATGAGATCGCGCGCGCGAGACAAGATTTGCGCGGAGAGTTTAAAGACAAGACGAGATTTTAGACTCGAGATTCTTGAAAATTTCGAGTAAGAAGAGTAAAAAATTGACCAATTACAATCAAATCTGAGAAGAATAATCGATTGTAAGTGGTCAATTTCTTACTCTTACTTCTTACTTCGTGTATTGTAGACAACGCATTATTTAAATTGTCGAGAATTTCGAGACAAGAGAGAGACAAGATTTTCGAGTTCGAGATCAAGACAAAAATGTACATTTCAAGATTTTTTCAAGACAAGACGATATTTCCTAAAATCTCGTCTTGCGGCATCCCTTTTAAATATAACATTTATTGGACATTACCATATTATCGTTGACACCAGGTTGTGATTTGGTAAGTGGAATTATAATCGACATATATTCGAACACTTTAATCATTGGGTACCACACAAGAAAATTTGTCTCTTGCGATAAGAATATCGTGAGTTTCCAAATTGCAGATGCATTGAGCTGACTATTTATCGTGAAATGAAATGCATCATCAATTATTTTAGCACGATTAATGACACTTACACCCTTATAATTTCCAGCTGTGTCATTTAATTGGTGTGCAATGTCGTGCAAGGTCATTGAATCATATTTGATTCGATAGTATCCTATTCATTAAAAAAAAATATTTTATTGAACTGTATTATAAATTTTCCAAGATTGACACTGAAAGAAATACTATTCTTCATTTATCTTCTTTTTATTAAATATCTATATATTAAAGAAACTTCATACATATATGTATGAAGAAATATATTGAAAATTACTGCATCTATAATATACATATTGTGTTTTTGGGTACATGCATTCCTACGTTTCATATATTGAGAACACTCATCATACATATTTTATTCATTATTATAGTGGAATATCGACTATCCGACTTAATGTGGAAATATTTGCAGAGAAGTATTTCTTACTATTTTCATAATTAAATAAAATGTATTGAATTTTTTATGTATATTTACCAGCTTGTTGAATGTTCACCATCCAAACTTCATAAAAAGGTAAAGTTGAGGGAAGATGGGCAGAATTATCGTTTGGTTTCAAACATGTCTTAAAATTTACATAAAGTGACGATATTTCCCTCAAAATTGTGGGTATCAGCCACTTTCCGTAATTCATTGCAATGTAACTTTGCGATAATATGTTGTTAACCTCGAAATATTTGTATGGTTCCCAGATTACAACAGGATAATGTTTGTACTGGAGCCAAGTTAAGAACTCACTCGATGATAAATTACAGTGATATGCTTCATTTAATACTTCTTTCATGGACCAAAAATTATAAGATATTTTTGAACTGAACGTTCTAAATTTAAAAAGTTATTGTTAATGATCAGCATAATGGATTAAAAATAGAAACGAGAGTTATAACTTAACTTATAAATACATAAAATTCTACAACACAATTTTATATCACACACGTAGAGATGAAAATCGCCTAAACTGATTTAAAAACTTAAAAATGTAGCCGCTTAGTTTTCGAAAATAAAATTAAGTTAATATATGAACGGACAAAAAATAAAAAAGACATGAACAAATGAAATTGAAAAAAAAATGTATGAAGTCGAAACGAAGGTATTATAAAATATTGCATATATTACGAAAATTTTTAAAAATGTTAAGAGCTATAAGAGTTGTTATATATATTTATTACAAACACACACACACACACACACACACGCGCGCGCGCATATATATAGTACAGGTATGTAATTAATTGTTATATTATCTTTACTCACTGTCTGCTTACATATACATGGATATTATTTCGAAATACTTCATCGGTAATAGCACTTTGGAACATCCGTAAAACAATCATTACTACAATAAGAAACATATTAATACATCGTAATTGAATTTTTTCCAACTAATCTTTTCCTTCGTTTTCTTTTATAATATACGTATGTGTAAATTTCTACTAAAAGGTTATTTAATTATGTTCACCTTTCATGTAACGAGGAAAACTGAAAATTGAATTAATATCCGACAAGTTAGTGGTTTTCACAGGATTCATATTAAAATGAGAATCCAGATGAAGAGATTCGTATTGATTCTGAATTATGAAGAGATCCAAAATTTCAGAATTATTAAAGCTCTAAAAATAAAGTTTCATAATTATGCATAAACGTTAATGTAAAAGCTATGTTCGCATTTGAGCTAACACAATATACGTGTGCATGTTTGTATATTATTATTAAAATCATTTTACAGTTTTCATAATTCAGTTTAGAAATAACGTGTTAATCCATTTATTAAAATGAGTTTTCACACAATTGTGACATTATATAATTTAAAAATTGTGATATTTATTTACATTTAATTGAAAAGGTTTTTAGGAGTTTACTTTACAAGAATTTTTACAAAATATTATTATTCCTACTTAAAAGTACATCGTCGCAAACTTCAGATAATATATAGATTTTGAAAAATTTATGATCTTACAGTCGGATCTAAGTTTCAAATATAAAAATGGTGTATATAACAAAGATATATCTTTCATATTGCGATATTAATAAATATAAATACCTTAACAACAGCTTCTTCTCCGAACATAGTAGCAAGAGCGTCGTGTAACCAAAAATTAGACCACCAAGCTGAACTGAGTAAGTTACTGAACCATTGATATGCTATTTTATGCGCTAATAAACGTGCGACTTCCATTTTGCGCGTAATTGGATCCAATGTTTCATCACAAATAAGATTGGCTTCCCTAAAAATTATTATAATTGGTTTAACATGCAATAAATTTTTTGTTTTTTTTTTATATAAAACGTATTTACTTGTTTTACATTTTTTGATATAATTTGGTTTTAATAATGTATATAAGATATTTGACATTTTAAATTATTTATAATTGTGTATATGGCAAATTACAATGAGACCACATTATTTGTATTTTATTTGATTCAGTTTGACATCAAATGTTGAATGTAATATCTTGTTAAATGTACACTTCCCTTAATAATTTTCTTAAAAAAGTGGATTTTGCTTTTCGTGTTTCTTAATAAAGTACTACAAATGTCTAACACTTGATATACAATGTAATTTGTATATTGTGACAGATGCAATTGTGAATAAAATTTATAAAAATATATGAAAGTGTTTTATAAGTAGATGTTTAGTCTCCTAAGAAGATATCACACAGTAAAATGGGTTATGGTAGATATACTGAATAAGTGAACCCCTCCCCCCTTAACCTTGACCTTGACATTTGTTGACATCAGGGTCATAGAGAAAGGCTCCCCAATTCGGTATAAATATCAAGGTTGCTTGTAAAAGCGTAAAAGACGTTTCCTAATTATTTCTATTTTTTATATAGTCTGTATTTATTTTTAATCATATAGATTCTTTTAGTTATTTATACATGAACTTTTCTATATTTTAAAATATTTAAGAGAAATTATTAAAATGTCAATGTAGCATACAAAATATTTAATACTTTATTCTAGCGTATTTTGGCATGGAATAATGTGAAAAATCTCGCAACTGTTAATTTTCTTGTTATCATATTCTGGTATTTTTATGCACAGTTGATGAAAAAACAGAATTGATTTTAGAAAAGAAATGCAATTGCAACTATTCCATATTTAATTTAAAATATTAATTGTATACGAATGATCTTATATGATAATGATAATTATTAAATATATAATTTAATCAATTTTAAATTTTTAATTGATGTAAAATATTTTTTCGTTTAACATATTTTATATTTAAACGTATACATTACGTATGAAATATGAGCCCCCATTTCGATATACCGTCTTGTCGAAAATTTGGAATTGAAATGTGATCCATTTTTGGAATATTTATCCCACCGAATTCAGATTTTAAATGCAGTGTAATATTATTTATGATTCTCCGTGCAAACTCAAATTTCGGACGACGTTCTTCTGAATCACAATCGCACCACAAAGTAATGTTTTTATTAACTCTAATGGATTGATACTCAGTCATGACTATCCCAATTTGGAAAGTGCTCATTGGAGGCGTAATATAGAAGTATGTGCGTAATGAATCTGTATAATTATCATAGGTTATGAACTTTGTCGGCATATTTGATAAAGCTGAATAATAGCGAGGATGTTTTATTGAAATGTTAAACGTGGCCTTTAATTGAGGTTCGTCCCAACAAGGAAATAATTGTCTCATTCCATTCCGTTCTTGAATGTGTGGAGCTATCAACAACCTGTTAAAATTTAATAATTATTATATTTTAAATATAATCATACAACAATGAATCTTTACAATTTGATTGAATTCAAACAATATCATTAAAAATTGATATAAAAATACATTTTTAAGGAAAATAATTAATAATTATATTATAAATTACATCATGTATATATGTATATATTTTTAACTATTTATCGTTTACTTACGTTACGGTATTTCCTTTGGAAACATTTTGAAAGATACTGTCTTCATGGTTTTCTATTAGATAACCAATAAATTTTAATTTGATTGTGTACAGACCAGGAAGCAGCTTATAAAGAGAAGGAAATTCTAGAATGTTCGTTATAGAGTCGTATTTATGTGCATTTAATACGTAAATTATGCCATTCTTTGTAGTGACATTTACATTTTCATAATTTGTTCGCAGTTTTATTTGATGCAAACTTATATTTTGAGTCGATTGGAGGATATTAATAGTTGTACTAGTTTCACCGCGAAAGAGAAATAAACTATAATTTAAAACATCATTATGTTTTAAATTAAATATATCTTTCCAAAGGAACTCGTAATAATCACTATTTTTGCTTATGTAGCTGAGTTGTATGGAATAGTGCACCGGTATCACGTAATTAGATAAATATTCGTCCTTTGGAATAGTAGAACTGTACAGTTCTTTACTATTAAGAGCAGCTATTGTCAGAATAAGTATTACGCTATTACTTATCTGTGCTAAATTCATGTTGCCTCAATTGTCGTTCTAAATATATATATCTGTTAGAAAGTTTAAAGAAATAATATAATAATGATATACTAATGATAATAATGCACATAATTATTGGACATGTTGTTAGAGAGAGAGAGAGAGAGAGAGAGAGAGGGGAGGAGGAGGAGGAGGAGGGAGGGGGGAGAGAGAGACGTTATTAAATTTGTTTTGTATTTGTAACCATATATATATGATTACATCTTCTAATAAGATTAACACTAAACATTTTTTAATTCAGTAATATTTTTAGCATTG